AATTTTAAAAAATATTATTAAAAAAAAAAAAAAAAAAAAAAAAAAAAAAAAAAAAAAAAAAAAAAAAAGAGAGGCTCAAACAAGGGCTAAATTGAAAATAACAAAAGCATCATGTACAAATCATTTATAAGTTAAAAAATCAAGTACCGCCTTCATCTGCATTGTAAACGGTGTATTATGGTAGCAACATTCATTTGTATGTAACAATCGCTTGCATGACCACCGTCCAAAATAAACCTAAACGTTCTCGTTGGAGTCGACGTTGATTCCTCATTGTAGTCATGTTACGCACTACCATGATAAATAAAGATACAATAAAAGTAACACATAAATTACATATTATAATTATATAAAATAAATAATAAATTTCATCATTAGGTCACATTTTATATTATATTATAATTATACAATTTTAACAAACACCTACCAAATTCGAACAAACAATGCAGGACTCGTGCCTAATTGAATTGCAAAGGCGTACATCAGTAAACTCAGAGAGTCCAAACATCCCCATCTCAAATATCCAAAATACCAAATAATTAGAAGATGAAGACTATTTAAATCAAGATTGAAAATTCTGACTAATCAATTAATAGAATTTTGAAATCTAATTATACTGTTTCATAGAACCAGTACCTTTCCCCCTTGGTTTCCTATCTTCATTCACAAATTCAATTAGAAAATTTTTTCAAGGAAAATACACTTTGTATGTTCATAGTTATGATTAATTAAGGATGGCAATTCTTGCCATGGCCATTACAGGGCACCATGATGGCATGAGATAAGATGCATGCATTTGAGATACAGGGATTCTTGTCAAATACGAGTCACCCAACTTCTAACATGTCAGTAGTCTCTGAATTGGATTGTGATTCAGCTCTTGCACACAAAATAACTATCATGCCATTACATGGGTTTTGTTGAACCGCTTACGGACTCTTCCAAGCTCCACTTGAATCAGTAAAACAAACAAGAAACCAGGGGAAGATTTTAATCTTTCTTTTGAAGATGAATATACTACTAGGTATAAAAGGCTTTAGCGAGGCTAATCAGTAGCATTTCAAAACCTTGTAGCTGTATCAAAAGAGCACAGTGAGACTATCATGAGTTCTGAAGCAATTTGTTTCCTGGTTGTGGGCAATTTGCACACCACGATTAAAAGATTTATTGTGCAGTGTTGCTAGAAATAGTAAAATGAATTCGCCATACTAGAATTCCGTATAGCTTCCACTTCACAAGGAATTCACAAGCCATCCAGGCACAGACTTTCTTTATATAATTATGATTATAGTCCACAAGAAACTTGTGGAAACAAGATATTTAAGACGTGTCCATCAATCAAACCATAAAAAGGTAGCCTAAGTTATTTATTATCCGAAGAATTTAAGGCATTGAAGTGTGCAAATTTCAAGTAGCTGCGTTGATTCATGTTAGTCAAGACAGAGAGCATGTTTGGCTTTGCTTATAATCGTCATTACTTTTAAACTGATATTGTTTGTTTTGCAAAAATTGCATTTGTGACTGTATTTTCTTTTGGGAGATGCTCCACGTACAGGGGAGCATTTACAGAGGTCGGTCAGGGCAGACACAAGGGCGGAGCCCGCACAATTTTATTTTATTTTTTTTCCTTTTTAATGCAGGTCGGTGGGATTGACCTGCAACTACAGTGAGGGGCATGTAAGCCCTCTGTAGAACAGTGCCTTGTACGTAGGGCATTGTTCTTTTCTTTTATAGGCTTAGCCGAACATGTTTGAACCTTTCAAAAGTTACTAAGGCAAACATGTTTGGCTTTTCTTTAAAAAGTTACTTTTTAGGGAAAGAAAAAAAAAATTATCACAAAAAGTTACTTATTTTTAAAAGCTAGTATTTGCTTATCCTTTTCAGGGCTTAGTCAAATATGCTGTGAAAAAGAATGGGCAAGTTAACCCTATACATATTACAATCAATTCGCATGCATTGTGTTTCAGTAGACAGTGCTTAGTCTTTCTACTGAGAGTCAATTGTCTATTATTATTATATTTATTGTGGAAACACTTTTCTAAGCCTTTAATTTGCTAATTTGTAAGTACTATCAACATGTTCATTAATCATTTTTTATTTATTTATAAATTAAATTATTTATAATTTTTTCACAAACGGTGGCTAAATTACCATCAATATATAAATTGATTGCACGGATTGGTTAAAAAAAAAAACATAAAGATATGATTTCTTGAAATTGGGATTTATTTATTTTCGTTAAATACTTAAATCTACATCTGGAAGAAATTTTGTTCAATTTCGAATGAATTAAGATAACTATTTGTTTGGGGATAATAGTTATTTTTATATTCTTTTACAATTTGTTTGGTGTGGATTAGATTTTAGTGGATTTTGATTAAAAAAAAAATAATAATAATAATAAAATGTGTTGTCGAAAATTTTGGTTCCATGAAATTTGTGATCAAAATAAATTATGGACTTTGATTAAGATTATTATCAGATTTTAATCTATATCAAATAGGGTTATAAGATTAGCGGATTGATTGGGTCTAAGAGTTTTATCGAGATCCAAAAAAAATATATAATAAATAAAATTGTGGCTTATATTTTTGCAAATTGAGTTGGTTCCAATTTCAATTTATCTATTAAGATTGAAAATTATGCCTTTGTTTGGTTTAGAAGTTAAAGTCAATAATTAATATTTATTCCAATTTCATTTATGGATTGATAATTTATATCAACTTTTCAATTATGTATTTCATAAGTCCCTCTTTCATCTGGTTAAAAATCATATTTTTAATAGATTTTTATATAAGTTAATGAAATGTGTGGTTGAAATTTTGATTAAAAAAATGTGACTATTATAAAATGTGTGATGAAAAATGAACTTAAAGAGAAATAAATTTAAAAAATCGGGACCAAATACGAGTTAAGTTTTAGCATTATCAAACATAGTAACATAAGTCGAAAGACTTGAAACGTATTGAACGAAGTTTTAACTAGAAACAGTGATCATTCTTCTTTCATCTAAACAATAAACAATAAAAACAATACATCCAACGCTTAAATGAATAATAGATTTTGTCAAATAATGAGAATTTGCGGTTAAAAAGAAAGAAAAATTTATGTTCTTGTTTGGTGGAAATTAAAATCAGATTTTTAATAGATTTTAATAAAAACTGATAAAATGTGTGATTGAAAAATTGTAAATCCCATGAAATATATATAGATAAAATTAATTGTTGATTTTGACTAAAATTTTAATTTTAATTTTAATTTTAATTCCCACTAAGCACGGACATGTATTCACGTGAAAAATTATTTTATAAAGAGAATATATGGTTTAAACTAAAAGTTTGAGAAAAAAAATAAATTTTAGAACATAGGATGAAGAGATCTAAATAATTTATTTTTTAATATATTTAGTCCAATGAATGTATCTCGTGCTTCAATTGTCGTACTCTTCAATATAGTGCCGTTTGTTTTCCATTATTTGTACATTAAAATGAAAAATATGATCGTTATATATTACATCAAATCACCACATTTGACTTTCTATTTTTTATGTAGAGTTCGTAACGATTATATTTTTCTTTCTTATTTTTACATTAATATATATCAAACGGGGGTATAGTTTGCCAAAATAATATATACATACACGCCTATATGGAGAGAGAGAAAATATAATGTCAGTCAAAGCCTATTGTATTTCTTAAGATGCTTTCTCACAGTTCACCTTCATTTTCTCTATACCATTGCTCGTCTTCTCTCACAGCCACAGCCCCGGCCGCCCTCCTCCGCCCCACTTTTTCCATTTCCAAATTACATTTCTACCCTTTGAATACCTTTAAGTCACGAAAACGCCACTCCTCTCTCATCATTTCAATGGAGGGCCATTCTTCTGCCGCCGTCGATTCTATTTCTCAGGATTTAAAAAATCAGAAAATAGAAAATAATAACGATATTAGGAATAATGATTTTGATAGTGAGAGTGATGGTGTCAATAATAAGGTGAAATTAAAGCTGGAAGAGTTGAAGTGGGATCACTCGTTTGTTCGAGAGCTGCCGGGTGACCCCATGACCGATTTACTTCCGCGAGAGGTTTGTTTTCTCGATTCAATTTAACTCGTTTGTGATTCTTGTTCTGTGGTGTTTTTATTTATTTATTATTATTATTATTATTTGTTTTTTTGATGCACTAAATTAGCAATCTTAGGAGTTATTTTAGTCATTCAAACTAATGAAGTGATAGTGGTAATTTTGGGGTGTTTCGGAGGTAATTATTGGAGAATATTGTGAAACACAAACAATAAATGGAGTTCTTTAAACACACAGATTTTTGTTGAGAGAGTACACATGATGTTTTAATTTAAAATGTCGACTTTAAGCATTGCACTAGATTTATTATTGGATATATCGAGTTTATCAAACTCAGTATGCTGTTCATTTAATAGCTTGGCTTTATGGCGATTTTATGGTGACATTTTGGGAGGAATGATCTAATGAGCATGGGTTCTCATCTTATGCTAAGAACATGAGACATGACATATCAATTAATTTGTAGAAAAATTTATGGTGGGTCTCACCATTTGAATTGGATTGATAAACCATGACATTGGTGCTTAGCATCAAATCAGCATTGGTACTCATTAGATCATTCCTCATCTCTTAGGAATATCAAGTTTCTTGATCTTATTATGCTGTTCATTTATGATGTCAAAAAGAACGTTCCTTGAAAGGCTATATTGAGCATCATGGTCTTTGCCTTTTGCCTTTATGAGAAGTGTGAGTCTTGATGTAAATTGATAAAATAATTAAACTAAATTATGCTCAAATATACCATAAACTGACAAGAAAACTTTTCAAATAAGTTTGAAGTCTAATTTGCAACTAGAAACATAATATAGATACAAATAATAGCAAATAATAAATCTACAAAATGATAATTATTTAACAAGAAGTTGTTTCTCTATTTTTGTGTGTGTTATCTTGGTTTGAAAGTAAAGAAAACCCAAAGGATAGAAAAAAAATTACTCAGAGATAGCAACAAATAATATCTAACACTAAAATAGTGAAGTTGAGAAACATTAGATCTTTCACCTTACCTTATCAGAATGTCTGCCACTGAAAGGTGCAAGATTATTGATGGGGAAGGGAGAGAGGGTAGCACTAAAATTGGTTTTGTTACTTCTATAATTTTCGATCATGTTTAAAATAGCCCACTAAACCCTTATAACATTTTGGTTAAGTTGGCCTTGACGGGAGACACTCAAAATGAATGAAAACCTCAATCCATGTCACATTCCTCAATCTCTTTGGAAACACTGCTTTTATGTTGTTAGCTCATCAATACTTGTTTTTACCACTAATTCTGTAAATAACGACTTTCCATTTTGAATGCATCCTCACGAAATGTACTGTAGGTGTTGCATGCTTGCTATACAAGAGTATCTCCTTCTGTTGAGGTGGAGGATCCTCAGCTTGTTGCATGGTCGCATTCAGTTTTTGAGTTACTTGATTTGGACTCTAAAGAGTGAGTTGTCATTCTTTGTCTAAGATCAAAATACGACCAGTTTTGATTATTTAGTTATCTGTTATTTTCTTTTGTACATGAGCTTCTTTGACAGTCTTATCATATTCCTATCTGATTGCTTCTATTTCAGATTCGAAAGACCTGATTTTCCGCTTATATTCTCTGGTGCATCACTGTTGGTTGGAATGTAAGTGTCATTGCTTAGTTCATTTCTTGATGAGCAGTTCTGCCAAACCTTCATTGACTCTTTGTGATGTGTTCTGTAGGATGCCTTATGCGCAATGCTATGGTGGACATCAGTTTGGAATGTGGGCCGGTCAGTTAGGTGACGGTAGGGCAATAACTCTTGGAGAGGTTCTGAATTCAAAGTCTGAAAGGTGGGAATTGCAGCTTAAGGGTGCTGGAAAGACCCCATACAGCCGGTTTGCTGATGGTCTTGCAGTCTTACGTAGTAGCATCCGGGAATTCCTTTGCAGTGAGGCAATGCATAGTCTTGGAATCCCGACTACACGTGCACTTTGTCTGGTTACAACTGGAAAATATGTCACTCGAGATATGTTTTATGAGTATGTATCTTAAATCAGTGTTGTATATGTTGGTCAACTTGATACTGTACCTTGTCTTTCAAGTTCCAACCATTCGTCATCTTTCAGCTAAATAAGATGTTCTCAAGGTTTTAAAATTGTTCTAAATTCTGAGGTGCAAAGTTTGTTGGATGGATCTTTTTGAGGAAAGTATGTAGTATTTGATTCCATTGAAGACAAATATGGCAATAGAGACTTGAGAAATATGCGATCATCTCTAGTATTATTGTGTTGAAGTGACTTGAATATTTTATGCCTTAGTGTAATGGTCTACGATTTTTCGATGAACTTATTAGGTTCAAATTTGACAACTTTGGGTTTGTTCGCCTGCAGTGGCAATCCAAAGGACGAGCCTGGTGCAATTGTTTGCAGAGTTGCTCAATCCTTTCTCCGGTTCGGTTCATACCAAATACATACATCTAGAGGGAAGGAGGATCTTGACATTGTTCGCACTTTGGCCGACTACACCATTCATCATCATTTCCCCCATTTGGAGAACATTAGTAAGAGCGACAGTCTATCTTTCAACACTGGTGAGGGGGATGGTTCAGTTGTGGATTTAACTTCGAACAAGTACGCAGGTAAATTTGTTATTTAAAGTATGTGATGCACAAGAGAAATAATCTGTTTTGGAACCGAAGTATAAAAATGCATTACTATGTAGATTGTTGAGACTATGGTCTATAAGTGGATCATATCAGCTCTTTGCCTTAACTTTTTTTCACTACTATCATTCATTCTCCTCGTCACTTTGGAAAAGTGGAACAACCTGGAACATTATCTTTACCTGTTTTTTTTTTAAGTCCATTAACTGAATCCATCATTATTGGCGTTGTTTGACTGGTGGACATAAGTGGATCATATCTGATCTTGATACATTTCTTGACCATGCGTATCGCATTATCCTCGTCTCTCTCTAATTGTTTTAGTTAAATGGGTATCATGGACAACTGTTGTAATTTCAAGACGGAGGCTGATGAGTTGTTACATCTCCATTGGCTAATTCCTTTGTTCTTTTCTCATTTTCTGTCTTATGTGCATATATAGTAATTTCACCACATTGATTTGTATGTTTCTGTCATGCGATGTGGAAAATTTCAGCTTGGGCAGTAGGAGTTGCTGAGCTTACGGCTTCTTTAGTGGCACACTGGCAGGGTGTTGGCTTCACACATGGAGTGCTGAACACTGATAACATGAGTGTATTGGGGCTCACCATTGATTATGGTCCTTTTGGTTTCTTGGACGCTTTCGATCCCAGCTACACTCCTAATACTACAGATCTTCCTGGTAGAAGGTATTGCTTTGCAAATCAACCCGATATTGGCTTATGGAACATTGCACAATTCACCACAACTCTTTCTGCTGCTAAGCTGATAAATGACAAGGAGGCTAACTATGCCATGGAGAGGTATTTTCATGGATTAACCCTTTATACGATTTCTTTCCAAATTTGATTTTTTTTTGATGAATTATCTTCTCGATTTGTTAGATATGGAACCAAATTTATGGATGAATATCAAGCCATAATGACCAGAAAACTTGGTTTACAAAAGTACAATAAGCAGTTGATCGGCGATCTACTTAAAAACATGGCTGTCGATAAAGTTGACTACACAAATTTCTTTCGTTTGCTTTCCAATATCAAAGTTGATCCTACCATTCCAGAAGATGAACTATTGATTCCACTGAAGGCGGTTCTATTGGATATCGGTAAGGAGCGCAAAGATGCATGGACCAGCTGGGTGCAGTCCTACATACAGGAGGTATCGTATCATGTTTTGAGACTCCCTAATTCTTCTTTTGATAATCTATTCAACATCTGATCAAAAAGATATACCTTGGTTATATTTCATCTCTTCAACCAATTTAGTAATGAGCATAACGACCCTATTGTTCCGATGGAAAGAACGTATGATCACATTCATAAAGTTTTTACAATTCATGGTATTCGAAGTGTGTGTGCTCATAATAAAATGTCCAGGACATTGTCTACTTGAAAATGGAGTTTTTATTTATTTAATATTCGGTCGCACAATATAAAAAAAGAAGCAGACACAGATTAATGCTAGCTCATTGAAGCAAAATGTCGAAGCATTCACAATATCTTAAGCGCATTCTAATCTTTCAGGTTTTATTGTCCAAATTTAGATGATTTTGATGAGTTGAAACAAGAACTGCTACGTGATGTTTAAAGCATAAGTACTTGTCTTCCATTTTCAAAACTCTGTTGAGAATTAATTGTTAACCCAAACTCTAGAATTTCTTGCTATTTAGAATTTTCCAGCACTAACTAAAATCATACATCTGAAATATTTAGTCATCAGGTCATTTCATGACTTGTTACTTGATCATTTTTGGTACCTCGAGGGCTAAATTTTTAGGGCACTTGCATTTAATCAGGAAAGTTTCTGAAAATGTGATCATTAATGATCTGCAGTATGGAATAAATTTAGTAGTCCCCTTTTCCTTTTCTTGCTGATCAATGCATGCATATCTAGCTTCCTGCTGAGGATATGGATATGGTAAATAGAGGAGTAACCATCTGCAGGAACATGACATTTATGCTATAACTTGCATTGTGTTGTTCTACTATTTAGACACTCAAATGTCTTTAGCGAGTTTGCATCCCTATCCTTATGTTGCTTCATGGTGTATTCAGTGCGTTTCCTTTTCTCAATTATCTGAACTTCACATTTCGCGGTTCAGAAGTTTCTAATATTTTAAATTTTAAAAAATCCTTGCATTTTGCTTAGTGTTTGATCATTAGTAAGCATTCTTTGATTTTTTATATAGCTTTCCTGTCTTAGATAAATTTTCATGTCCTTGCAACCATAGCCATCCAGTCATCCAAAACTGACAGTTCTGGCAGAAATAGTTTCTTCAACAAGGACTCTGATAAATTTCTTTATCCATTGTTGAGATTTAGAGATGTATTTTAGATTAATTGTGGCTGATAGGAATATTCGGTAAACATGAAAATTGTCTTCTGGACACTTCTTTCTTGGGTTTGCCCTTTTTTATGTGACTGCAATGTGCGTAATGGGAATGGGGGCATGGCACAGCTTATATACTCAACAGTGACCAGCTGATCTGCAGATCCACAATTTCAATTTTAGTTGACAAGTAGGTCCAATTCCAGTTGAGTAACATTGCACTCGACTCAACAATCTAAGAATAGATTATGTACTGGCCATGGGTGAATTATCAAGTCTATTGCTTGAAAGATTTTTGAAGTCTTAGCTTTTCTGATTACTTCTTTTAGTACGGTAAAATTGAGCCACACTTTATATATTCATGTTCCTTCCCTTGTTGAATTAGTTTAAGAAAACTGTCACCATGTGTGAAATTGAAGCTATCATGATCGATGAGTCACTATGAACACGATTTCCAAGTGCGACTTCACGGAGCTCATTTTCATTCTAAACTCCTGGAGTTTGAAATTCATTAGCCTGACGGGTTCTTTTTTGCTTCCGCAGCTTTCTTCTAGTGACATTTCGGACAAGGAGAGGAAGATATCAATGAACTCTGTAAATCCCAAATACATCCTTAGGAACTATTTATGTCAGAGTGCCATTGATGCAGCTGAGCAAGGTGATTATGAAGAGGTTCGCAGGCTGCTGAAGGTTATAGAAAGTCCATACGACGAGCAACCAGGAATGGAAAAATATGCACGCTTGCCCCCAGCATGGGCTTATCGTCCAGGTGTGCGCATGCTCTCTTGTTCCTCCTAGGAAGAATGTATTTGTACATAAACAGCCCTTATTTCGGTTTTTTGCCGTTGCAGTCAAAATTTTTCCCTTTCCCTTCCCCCCCCTTTTTTTTTTTTTTTTTTTTTGCACAGAGGCATACAGTTTATAATGTACTATATTTTTCTTACTGTTGGGCTGTCTAGAGATATTGAGATATTTATATTTTGATTTGTTATTGCGTCGAATTCACATAATTATTATGACCCAAAAGGCGATAAATATTTATTAGGTCTCTTTTATTGAATTTAAGGGTCCGTTTGATTGCAAAGATGGAATTGAATTGGGTGGAAAACGAATTCCAGGGAATTAAATTGCTTAGAATTGTTTTTCTAGGAATTGTAAATTATTGTGTTTGATTAGTATAATTTTTCACGTGAAAAATGTTGAAGTAAAAGTGTTTTTCTATGTTCGTTTGACTTTGTTTTGCATGAAAATTGTCAATTAAAATGATAGAATTTACTGGTATTGGGTATGACATTGGTTTCCATCGTCAAAAAGCAAAATAATAATAATAATAATAATAAATAATTCAAGAAAATCATCTATTTTTTAGTGTTCGTTTGATTTTGTTTTATATGAAAATTATCAATGAAAGAGAAATATTTTTTTACAATAATTTTTAGAATTGGTTTCCGTTGCCTAAAAAAAATGAAAAAAAAAATAAAAATCACTACATTAGCCGAGAATTCCAATTCTCACCATATTCCAACAAATTGAGGAATAATACAACTTTCAATAAAAGCTAGAAATCAATTTCATGGAAAATCTTGTGAATCAAACACTACATTTTGGGTGGAAACCATGGAATTGGGTGAATCAAACACGACCTAATTCTCCCATGCTTTATACTTGTGGGTGAAGGAAATCTACTTAATCTTCTTATTATTTTGTTCAAAGTGCTGAATATGTATATAAACACGTTATGGCATGATTGGTAAGAACGATTAGATGATACGTTACAGTAATACGTATGAAAAGAAGTTACAATTTTGGGAATCTATCTAGTGCAATCTATTACTGCTTAATGAACATGCACTTGATGTATACAAGTAAAAACATGGAAAGAAAATTATTTTAAATCGAGAAAGTATTTAAAATAAACACACTGAAATTTTATAAAACATGACAAAAATTACCACATTTGCAAAACACAAATTTATCGTAACAATCCAAGATTCTATGCACAAATCCCAAAAGAACTTACCCAGCTAAAACCTGGCTGTAGTTGCTTCATATTTGCAATTATTAAACGATTCCAAGTACTATAAAATGAGGAGACAGTGTGACAAGCAAACTTAAGAAGATGGCTTATATATAATAAGGTCACATGACTCCATGTTCTTACTTAATCTTTATGGATTATTTTGAAGAGAGAAATCAATTTAGTCAAATCAGCATCACATGTTAAGCAGCTTTGATAAAAACAAGGGATTTTCAGATACAGTATTGTTCGATTAAGATGACATATTTGATAAAGAAAATTAGATAATCATGTGCGATATTAAGAACGAAAATAATTTTAAATATTAGATTCTAAGTAACTAGATAGTGCCATATATTAGTTTCGATATATCATTCTTCAGACTAATTTAATGACTTGCTGTAATCAACAAGAGTCTCAATGATCTATAACTTCTTGCTACGCATTCTCCATATGATGATATACCTAAATTATTGTTAGCTTAATTTATCCTCAAATTAATGTCACATTCACTTGTTCTTCTTATTTTGTAAGTTTATGATAAACTTTAATAAAATCTGTAAATAACTATATCTAGTCAAATTAGACTAGAACAAACTTTCCTACCCGCAGATCCAGAGCCAAGTTTGACACTATTGAATCAATATTGGCCCGCTAATTTGTCTATAATTAGAGTTTGTATACTATACAAAACACATGTTTTATCAGTCTATAGCACGAGGAACAACCAACAAGCAGTATGCATAACCTTTTCTCAATCCTCGTATAAACATATTCAAGTCCTCCATTTTCTGCCATCTCCATTTCAATATCTTAGTTTCTCAATCAGTATGAAAAACAGTCACAGAACACTAGTTCTGATAGGGTTGTTCTGATAGGGTTTCTTTTTGTGCATTTTCATAAATTTTATGCTGTGCGTGTTTCGCCTTCATGGGTCCTCAATGATCCCAGTGGCAGTGTTCAAAGTCTGTCAAGAAAATTGTTAATTTCTTTTACTTCATGTTCTGTTAATGGAGGCAAGAGTGGATCAATGAAAGAGCCTGCAAAAGCAGTGGAAATGAATGGCTTAAGGAAACGCCCACCAAGTTCTTCAAATCCTACACAGAATAAGCAGTGGCCTTTCTTGAAAAGTAGAGAAAAAAGAGGGAATAAATCTGATTCTACGAATTTTGCAGGAAGTAAACCTTGATTAGTTAGTTCTTTCTGGGTATTAATCCCTTCTTGTAATTTTGTATTAATTCTCTATTTCTTGATTTTTTATTTTCTTTTTTGTGCATTTTTATTGAGTAAATTTGTTAAGAAGAGGAAATTGCACAGAATGTCAATTTTTCTCAAGATATTTACAAAAATGTCACTTTTTTTAAACATTGCAAGAATGTCAGTTTAAGACATATTTGCCCTTGAAAATAATTTCAAATTCCATACATGTCCTAATTAAATGAGATTTGATCCAATAGAAGAAATTGTACAAAAATCTTGTCAATGTCATAGATGAAAAGTTGGAAAAAAAAATAGATGAATTTTATTTCTGTCATTCAAACAACTCTAACTCTCTCTCTCACTCACTCACTCACTCACTCTCTCTCTCATTTCTCTCATTACGGGTTTCAATCCAAGAGAGAAATTTTTTTTTTTTTTTACTCAGTTTTTGTGATATTTTTATCTGTAAAGGGTTTATGAGATGCGAAAAATGGAGCTTTTTGCTTGGTTTAAAATAAGAGCTGGGGCTTGGATTAGAAAGAGGTAAAAATCCTTTTGATATTCAGTAATTTTTTTGGACATTTTGAATAATTTTTTGGTTGTGTTATGATTAGAAATGTTTTTCCCCAACTTTCTGCAATTTCATACCATAAATTTTAATTTTCTCTTTTTTTATACATCTTCTATTAGTGATGCATATATGCACACGTAACACGTGCCAACACTAATGTTGAGGGAAAAAATTATTTAGGGTTCCAATTCAATATTTATCCTCTTCCTTTGCTTTCAAAGTCCAAATTTCAAGTATTTTGAATGTTTCAATATTTTTGGTACTTGTGTGATGTGAAAATAACATTACTATTACTTGGAATCCATTTGTTGTGAGAGGTACCCGTATTTGGGTTGAACTCTTGTTAGATAGTTGACAGCATACCTGTGGTTTTAATGTTTTGTTATGCTCGAATATGGAGTGAAATAAGTTTCAATAATACCTATTTGCTTAGAGGTGAAAAGTAGATTTCCCGATAGTTCATCTGTCGACAGTTCACTAATGTAGAGAAATGCCATCGCGCCTAACTGTCTGTTTCGACAGTTAGCCTCGGTAATTCTCGATAGATGAAACAGTCGACAGATGAACTGTCGAGAACGACAGTTCAGTCCTTCCCTCCGCTCAGTTCCACAAGTCAAACTTTGATTCATTCTAACATTGCACGAGTGTTTTACATAAATATATATGAAATACTATGATCTCATGATTTTTTTTTGATTGATTTGTCCGTATGTGGTTAGATTTTTTTCATCCAAACGTCTCACATGTGACTGATTTCCATATGTGGTTATATTTTTGTGTTTCACGTTTTTATTTGTATAATAATACCACCACCGTCACGATTCATTCTTCATAATTTTTGGATCACATGCAATTCAAATCTATTTTTGTGGAAGTTGCTTGTTTGAATTCAGATTATGATAGATTGCATGAATCAATTGAGTTATATTATGTACTATGATCAGATTGTTTTTGCACATAAGGTGAACGTTATTACATTTCTTCACATTGTTTTCTACGTGCTTTATCTCGGAATACTAATTTCACCAATGTATGATGACATATGAGCAGACTCATACTCATGACTTGAATGATCGTCAAAATTTTATTGCACACATTCTTGCTATAATTGGAGATGAAACCAATCGATTTCGTTGTCAAAGAAAGAGCAACCTTCACAACGGTCTACTTTTGATGACTGTGGCAACTGCATGGAAAAATATTTTGTTTTCTATTTATGTATATAATTTTATATTAGTTGGTTTTATTTATGTGATGTTGGCAGAGGAAATTGTTTTTGTTTCATACAGAAAATGTTTATAGTAATGAATAGTAAATAGTAAAGAATAGTAGATTATTTTTTAAATAGGGTCATGGAGCTACTCTACAGTACAAAATAATGGTTACATCATGTTCGATACTTGAGCAAGGTTGTGTACATAAAAATGATTTTTGGTGCATTTTATAACTTTCTTGCTTTCGAAACTCATTTGATTTATCGATTAAAACTGGTATTCAATTAAAAATAAACATGATTGAATTGAATATTATGATTTGTTTCAATCGAAAACGTTCATGAATCATGGTGATATCACTGGACATCGTTTTCTTGCAAAACATAATGAGCAGTTCTTTGTTTGCATTAAAATATTGTGCGTACCATGTTTCAATCAAGATGAAATGGTACACATGATTTAATGTACACAATTTTCATAAATGATAGACCAAGTGTGAGTGATACAAGCGCACTTAGACTTTAAAAGCATCACACTAATTGTCTTTCAAATTCAATTTGAGATGTGATGAAAATAAGTTTTCATTGTTGCGTATTTCAGTCGGAGGTATATTCAAGTTAACGACCTTGAACTTCAATTCAATTTGAGTACGGGGATTAAGAATATCAAGTTTGTCCTTCAACATTAACAAAAGTACGGTTACGATATTACTTGTCGGAACCAGAATGTAAGTAGTTTTGTCCCCTATTCACTTCTATTCGTCATCCGCATGAACAAACTTTTCCCATGCGACATGATGAAACTCAAATGATTATTCATACCTCAAATGATGGGATTGCAACGATAAAAATTCTACAGAATCAATGTGTTGGCGTTTAATAGCATGAAAGTGGCACTATATAATACGTAAATCCGTACAATAGTAAAAGGTCAAATCAAGGCTTTTCATCATTTTTAAGTGTTCAATTTGACAGTAAAACTATATATCCCGACAGTGTGTAAATGTCGGGTTCGACATTTCAAACGTCTAACCCGACAGTTTGTAAATGTCAAATTCGACAGTTGAACCGTCGAAAATGTCGAGAAGCAGATGACAGTGGGTAGAACATATTCTTCAGCACAACACATTAAGTGTGATAATTAGTATTGAGCTAGATGAAAAATGTCAGATTGACCTTGTTATTGAAGAGACATTTAATGAAAACATTATTTGGTTTGAATGGAAGAAAGTACTCAAAACCTTGATAGTGATAATCATATTTGTGAAGGATTTAAAAAAAAAATCAATGAATAATAGTTTCAAAAATTTTAAGTAAATATGTCCAGGTTGTATTAAATATTTACAAAATAGTAAACTGTAGAAGTAAAATGTAAATATTTTCTAATAACTAACCTCTCAAAATGGATTATGAATGTAAGAGAAAAATCTTCTTGATCAATGAAATGAAAAAGATGAGAAAAATTAGGGTTTGTAAGGGAAGAAGAAGATATATTTGTTTATATTTCATTTTAAATTTCTTTTACCCTTTTTTATTAACACAAATTCATATTAATCAATATAATACACATTTATCCATATTTTTTATATATAAAATAAATCATCACATAAATATAATCAATTCTTTCAAATCAAGCATTAAATGCTAATGAAAATGTGTCATTAAGGGTAATTTGGACATTTCACACAAAAAAGTGATATTTTTGCTCACATAAAGTGAAAATGACAACTTTTGGGAACCTTGTTAATTTTGTGACTTTTTTGAAAATTCCCCTTTGTAGAATTAGTAGGCGATCTTTGAACAAGGGTATATAGAACATCGTTTAGCATACGACAAGTAGTATTGTTTCCAATTTTTTGGGATTGGCTATATGGATCTTTTTCGTCCCTCCTTTCGGTTCATTGTCAAGATTCAAAGCAACCAGAAGTATAGATCCATAGCAACCAAAATAGAGCGTGCTGATCTAGCGTAGGGCTAGAAATATATCTAATTTTCTCAAAATGCATGTTTGGTGCCCGATAGGACTGGATATGATTAATGAAAACTACACATTTGCTTGACCTATCTAGTCAGGTTCTATCTAGCGCGCCCAAGTTGTAACGAGTTTTTAAGCATAATTCTTAGTAATAATTAAGCTGTGAGAATTTAGGATTATATTTACTTACTTGGGCTTGTCTATTTATTTGGGAATTCAAGAAAAGGCTCGGACAACATGACATACGAGTCATTCTGATTTGTCTATTTTTCCTATCTTGCTCGGACGAGTAGCAGCCTATACACAAAGTACATGTTTAACATATTGTGCGTGTTTATTCCTGACTTAGGAAAACTTGATGAGGACAAGCAAACAATTGAAAACCACTCTTTTTTTTTTATCTTTTTTTTAATTGTGTAAAAGGAATCACATTCTCTAGAAAGATTGGAGAATCGTGGAGTAAGCAAAAAATTATGCAGATTCCTTTAAAGCTGGTGGAAATGCCCTTCAATCTCTAAAACAAATCTTATCGTATCAATGAAAGAATGGACAACTACACATTACAAAGCTCTATTTAAAGTGTGGCAGGCCTTCAGTTGTAGGCATTAAGTTTTCTGCAACATGGTTTTCTGTGGTGCAATGGGGTGACGCCGAGATGCCTCTAATTCCCATTATTATCTCTCGGCGTCGTCATTGCACCACTGACGATCATATGTTGCCATTTTTGATGGTATTTTGCCTCGAGTTTGGCTATTTTAGGCTCTCCATGCGATGCTTAGTTACAACTCGAGATTGTCAATCTGTACAGGTAAATGAACTGCTTCATTTGATCATCTGTATGCATATTTAAGTTTTTAAATGAGGTGTTTCAACCAAAGAAAAGTAAGAAAACTATGTTCTACGTGAGCTTGAGGATTTGTTTTGTAAAGCAATTTTGTGATACTAGTATAATTAGTGTTCTATTTTTTCGAACACTAAAATGATTAATAAAATTCTAACTTTTGCTGTTGTTACAATTTACAGGATCAACTTCTGTAGTAAGAACAAAAGGGNCGCACTCACTCGTGTATTGGAAGGAGGAAGAGAATAGTTTACATTTTATAGTTTACAATATGGTTTGGATGTGGTGGGGGTAGCGTGGGGGTGGGGTAGGGTGAAGAAGGAAATGAATAGTATTTTATTTTTTTTGTTCTAGTTATATATTTTAATTGTTTTATTATAGAGTTAAGTACTTTTACTTTTTTACCCTTTTCAATTAGTCAAAAATTGGTCAATGTTTAATTTTATTGGTCAACTAACGGTCAAACGGACGGTTTCCATCCATTTGGACTTTGGGTGAGGATTTTTGAAAGATTTGGTACCTCCAGTGGCACAAACTAAAGGTTTGGGCAAAATCTACTAATAAACGAAAGGTTTGGTATCTCGGCTACAATTTTCCCCACAGTTTTTCAATCATGCTCTTCATTAACTTTTATCAAATTTTTACTAAAAATCTGATTCTAATTCCCACCAGACAAGTGTAAATTCGATCTCTCAAGTCTCAAACTCAAGCGCATAGCACATTGAACTCTGAATTATTGTGTGTAACAATTACTTATAAATATCACGTCACTTGTGATAGGTCTGCCTTGTAAATTTATAATCGCGTTGGACCTGCTTTCCTTACAAGTCAATTTTGAGGGTAAGCTTCACTTAATAATATGTTCGTAATAATGGCATATGAGCAGAGCAGGTAACCTTTTTGGGAGACCTTCCTTGTGGACAAGCGTTACTTTCAGTAAAAAGTTTGTTCCATGGAGTCAGCCAGATGAAAAAATAGATAGGTCTGCTAATAGGTTTATAAGGCCTGAAATAAAAATGATGGATCGACCCGACATTTTCACTTATGATTTTGACTTCATGTGTGTTTTCAAGTAAAACTTTGTACATCACGTGCACTGTCCACGACTTCTCACGGCGACGTGGACAAAAGCCATTCCTTGATGAACTATGCTACAGATAAGGGCCCTGCTTTGCAAACTGATGTTGCAATTTATTTTATGAAAAATCCTTGGGGTACGTAAAGGGGTACATAATAGTGTCCCCCTCACATGTGCCAGTCCCACCTGAATCTAATGAGAAATAAAATAAGGGATGTTCTATGGGTACATAATGATGTCCCCTCTCACTCACATGTGTCGAGTCCATCACACTCAATAACATTGAACAGAAAATTTGAAGAAAAAACAAATAAAAATGGTATTCATTATTCTGTACAATATCAACGTACAAATCATGCCTCTCGACTATAAAAGTGAAAACCAATACATATTATTTGCTCAAAAAAAGAAAAAGACCTTTTCATCTAATGGAGAAATAATTGTGTCTAAACATCAGTCTTCTCCTTACTCAATGATGCAGAAATAAATAATTCCTCCATGGCTTTCACAGAAGAACCCTTGTAACTTTCCTCATCTCTTGTGGCATCTTTAATTAATTCTTTAATCTCGCAAGCTTTTCTTTTAATCTCCTTTGACTTGTAATTATCTCCCATAACCAACTCTATTTTTTCCATTATTTCTTCTTGTCTTACCTCAAAGCATGTCCCCCTTGCAACCTCCACACAAACCCCAGCCTCTTCAACCAAAACCTTTGCATTGTAATATTGCTCAGCAGCCATTGGCCAACCAATTAATGGGACACCATTTTTAAGTGATTCAAGAACTGAATTCCATCCACAATTACTTAAAAATGCTGCAGTAGATTTATGGGACAAAATCTCCATCTGGGGTCCCCATTTTTCAACTATTAGTCCCATTTCTTGATCCTCAATATGCTGCACAAATCCTTCTGGTAGCCAGTCTTGTGGTACGAAATCTGCATCCATGTCATGTCCTAATGGTGGCCTAACAACCCATATGAAATTCGTTCGACTTGAATCCAGGGCCTTTGCCAATTGCAGCATTTGGGATGCGGAGATTGTGTTCTGGGATCCAAATGATATGAATAGAACTGAATTTGGTTGCTTTTTGTTTAGCCATTCGATGCATGATGCTGGACTAATAGCTGGTTTTCGGCCAATTCTTGATCTGTCATATTCTGATAATAGTATTGGCCCAACCGCCAAAACAGGTATACCTAGTTTTCGTCGAAAGTATGTCAATCCTCTCTTGTCTATCTCTTCGAATGTGTTGAACAGAATTCCATCAGATTTCGACCAATTTGGAAGATTCTTCCTTTGGAAAGTTGTAAAAGGATCATCTTCTTGTGCAACTAATAAAGCAGGTGATAGCTGAGTTACATGAAATTTTCCAGCTTCAGGAAAATCAGGCAGCATAAATTCTTGACTTTCTGTGTGTTTATGAGGTAAATTCAGCCACATGGAATAGTAACATGCCATCCCATATCCACCAGTACAGCTAAAGATTGCATGAAATACTCCAAATTCATGCGCCACATGAGCCGTCCAATCAAAAATAAAATCTGCTACAACACAAACCGGCTTCTCTCCACCTCCATTTCCCTCTACAAGATCAGCAAGTAGTTTCCTAAACGGTTGCTCAAGACAAGAACTGGCTTCGAGGATGCGGAGGACGAGTTTGTAAGGAAGGGAATCCGAGTTCTCAGCCTCCGGGGGAAGGCCGTGTTCAGCGGCGTTGAAGGGGATTTCAAGGAGGCGAATGGAGGAATTTGAAGGAAGGAATTTTTGCAGTTTCTTGATATTGATAGATGTATTGACAAAGGTTATGGTATAGCCCTTTCGTTCTAACTGTTGAGCTAAGGCCAAAAAGGGTATAATATGAGATTTTGCCATGAATGGAAAAAGCAAAACATTTTCTTTTCTTCGCTCCATACTTTTCACTTCAGGAGGAAGAAGAAAGAAGAAAAGAGACAAAAATGTTATGAAAATGGTTCCTCTGTATTAATCAGTTGGAAAGTTCTAGCGATTCTAATAGGGAAAAGTCAACTTTTGGTCTTTGATATAGTATTTTATATATTATTTTAGTAGCGATTTGATTTCTTAGCTTAATGAACAAATTGATCCTGGATCTTTTTTATACTAGATGTTGGTAATGTCGAAACATGCCTTAAACTTGCTCCAACGCTTCGTAGTCTTTACATAGTTTTAACATACACTTGTAGAGACGATCATCAAGAAAGGCCCCCAAAATCATGTTCCAGCTAGATGATTATACAATCTTTAAACTACCAAAATCTATAAAATCATCACATCACCTTCTTACATAGAAGCTAGATTTTGCATGTCAATCTAGATTAGTCTAGAATTTCAATTGAGACTTGCTCCTTAACGATGACATGACAATTTTTTTACGAAAATTTAGACACTCATAATGTAACTACAATGAAAGATCAATTGCCAACTTACTACCTTTTAAAGGTTAGACACTAATTTTTATTGAAATAATAGATCAGGGGCAAAAAGTACAAGTTTTCCATTCTAATTGTGAATGTATCTCCTCTGTTCCGTTCCACTAGGTTGAATTTATATTCAATTCTATGTGTAGTTTCTAGAAGCCATCAAAGGATTGATATGAGACTCTGCCTTAATTTTGGACATGGACTCGATTCTCAATTATTGGAGTAAAGTGAAGTGACACAGTTTTGTTTTTTTTATTTATTTTTTGCCAAATGAGTTTTTGAACGTAAAATAAATACATTATTAGCTATGAAATAAATTCTCTATTTAGGCAGGCAAGTCTGCACAAAACTGCCAGCAGAGTACATCACTAAATCCAATTATATAATCAGATAAAACCAAAAATTGCTCCTTTGTATAAGGATGTTGGCAAATGTTTAGCAATTTATCCTGTGTACAAGAAAATGAAAGAACCTTGTGAATTTCCCGTGTCAGCTCCACCAAAAGCTGACTGAAAAACTCGTAGCGAGAGACCGCCCATGATGCCACCATTTCAGAGGGATGTAAAGTATTTCGCCTTCCTCTAATATGCAGTAGTCAAAATCCAGATTCAGCACTTTCAGAAATTCTTTCTTGTCCATGTTATCTAGGTCAACCTTCGAACAAATTCACTCTTTAAGATGAATGAACATGATAATGCGAAAAAATAAGAAGAGAAGAGATTGAGAAACTGAGTAAACAGCAACAAATGATTAAAGTTCAATAAATTACCCCTGCCTACAAATTTACCGATAAGATGTGGGCTATATATATCCCCCAAGGATGTCATTATATCTGCAGCTTCTCTTAAAGGAATTCTATTCCAGAATAAAGTAAAAAATATTAAATCTATTACGGAAAACAAGATGGCTAACTCCTCAAGACACTTTTACTACCATTCACACAACTTTTAGCTTTAGTCCCTTTCTTTTCTGTATGATATACACCAACCGCAAACCCAAATTTGTTTAGAATAAGGGTTAGCCCCTGTTTCATTCAGCTACAAAATTGAATTAAAATGAATTATTAATTTAACCACACATTTCATGGGGCTAACAACTTTTCAACCACACATTCCATCAACTTTTATCAAAATATGTAAGATTCTAATTTTCATCTAAACCACACGTTTCATTGTTGTCGATGTGTGACATACACCAATAATTATTGCAACCAATTTTATCATAACTAAGACTCTTAAAAGTTAAAAGCTAATGTTCAAGCTATATTGCCTACAATTACGTCTCTACTTGCATACTCAATACTAAGATTCATAAGGAAATTTCTACACCGCGAAATACATATTTATGGGACTGAATAAAAAGAATATCCCTGTACCTCTACATTAATGAATCAGAAAAGAGGAAATACATCAAAAGTAGATGGTCAAACAGATGATAGACAACATAGCCAGTATATGACTCAACAAAGACGAGCATCAATACGCCATTCATTGTAGTATTGGACCACTTTAGACATCATTTCGGTACAGAACTTACGGCAAGCAGAAGCATAGGTACCTGGCTGGAGTTGCTAAAGCATATTACTTTGCAAAAACATGGAGCAGCAACAATATTAAGAGCGACCTGACATTCCCTGTAGCCTTAGGTTTGAAACAATCCTATTTGCGCCTACCTTAATCACAGTCTATTTATTAAAAAAAATCAAGGGAAATGTCGAGCTTAGGGAAGACATTTGATAAAATCCACACAGATACAAAGTGAACCCATCTGTATCCTCCAAACTATTTTCAATATTCCAAGCATTAAGCAAACACGCACAAAAAAATATTGTACTTCAAGCTTTACCAGTTGACCTTGATAATGCAGTCACTTTCATTAGACACAAAAAAATAATAATAATAATAATAATAATAATATTAAAGAAATAAAAGAAAAGGCCACCCCCAAATCAAGCACACATGTATATATACCTATGCAATGCGTAAAATGTTGTACTTCTTGCTCCAACAACTATGTTATACAGTTTTCCAATTTCTTGAACAAACATTAAAACAAAATAACATGAAAATATGCATTTGTTATCATTAATTTCCCCAAAGCCTTCTACATTATGCTTTGTTATTATTTGTAATCTCATCATCTCAGATTTAAGGAAAAAATAAAAGAGTACCATTTCACTTTCTCGAAAAAAAATATCAAAAACGTGAAAGTATGCATTTCTTATCATTAACTTCGTCCAAAGCTTGGACTCCTTGCTTCATCAGTTGTACTCTCAAATTACAGATTAAGTAAAAAAATAAATTTGTGTATGAGAGAGAGAGGGACGGAGGGAGACGGACCTCACTTTTGGCATGTTGAAATGTTGCCGGGAAACAATTTCTTGATCTTCAAATAGCTCACTCTTCTTCTGCCCTTCTTCAGTACTGTTATTGCTGTTATTACTGGAACTAAAGTCTTTTTCACTATGAGCATTGCTTGCTTTCTTAATACACGAATTCAAATCATCTCGTAAAGTAAATCCACCCATGATGAGCCCCTTATCGAGTGCTTTGAGAGCGATTTTGAGAACTAATTTTTTTGATCGTTAGGAGAAAAGTAGAGTTCACCTGTGAGAGAAGAAGTCAAATATAATGGTCGTAATAGTAAAATAACGGTCAAAAAATCAATTTTTTGGCCAAAAAATCACTCCCAAACAGACTACATATTAGTGAATGAAACAAATAAAAAATAAAATAAATTTTCGAGTTAATTTCACCTAGTCGAGTCAATCCTATGTAGTTGACATGATAAAGCAACCCTATCAAGTATAATTGGATTGGGGTTGGTATGATGACAATTCAAAATGTTCAAATCTTTTTAAGATAAGTAATTTGAGTTCTGTCTATTTATTTCATAGTTAGTTAACGTAAAATTTACACTAAACTATTCAAATCCCCATTTTTCTAATTTTTCTTTAATTTTCTCAAATAGATGTTAATAGTAACTCACATTTCATAGAAGTCATAACTTTTCAACCCTCTACTAAAAATTCGATTTCAATATATGCCAAACAACGGCAATGTATATATATGGTTTTAATGGAAGTTACAATCTAAATAAAATACACTCTTGGAAATTAAGTAGAAAAGTCATCTAGACTTCTAGTTAATACCAACTAGTTATTCACTACTGATACAGATTTATATCTGCAAAGAATCTTACATTTGAGAACTTTATCATCATGCACATAAAAGCCAGGCATTACCATGATCTTGACCCTCCTTGGACCCTCTAAGCTCTGCTTGTCTGGGAAAATGTCCTCCATGTAATGAGGATCAAACGGTCTATTTTCGTCAACCCGTAGAATTCCCAATGGCGGATTGAATGAAAACGCAAGCAAATGGAGCAACCAAATGCATTTTGCAGCATCGAAAAATGCCTGAAGAAGCTGTTCAGGCCATGGTATCGTCCATCCAAGTTTTGTAATAATGCAACTCATTTTCTGATCACAGAATTCGCTGAATTCTTCACTGTAACATTTTGTCCCTTTTCTTAGAACTTCATTCCAGCTTAGATTTTTCAGCGCAAGAAATGATTGAAGTTGTGCTTGACGATCTTGTTGAGGATCTAAGAGCTTTGGGGAGCCGTTTCGCTGGAAAATATGATTCTCAAAATCTTGATAGAATGATTGGTTTATGATCGCTTCCAAATGGTATTGAACTGCCCTTGTGTACTTTGAATCCAAGAAAAGTTTATATGGTTGTAGTAGCAAGTTCAAATTATCGACTGTGGTGCTGTCAACTCGAGATCTTGTTGGGCTCCCTACGGAGGACAGAACAGGTTCGTTCGCTAGATTTGATCTCGCCTGAGAGGGCTGCACAGGGTTGGTTACTAAATTTGGTGTGATCTGGGACAGGAGAGTCTTGCACAATTGTGTGACTGAGAATCTTGATTCTGATACAATCTGCAAAAAGCTCTCAAACATGATCAATTTTTCTGCATCACCATCCACTGATTTCCTAATTGGATGATTTTCAAGATTATCAGCAGCATGTGAATTCTTTTCTTGTCTTAATGTATTTTTCAGTTCTTCACAATAAGTCTCCAAGTATTCCAACTTCTGGCTTAGTTCTCTCAACGACGTTTTAGTCTCCTCGACTTTGATTAAGGCCGCATCTTTGCTCTCATTTGCTTCCATTAACTCTTTCTTCAATGCCTCAGTTGATATGGTTCCCAAGTTGTTAACAATTCGAGAAACTTCATCGGACTGTGTCCGATTTAGTGATGAGTTTTCATCCTCGTTCTTCTTCTTTCGCCTCGGAAACAACCTAGAAAAATGCAGCAGCCCTTTGTTTCTTTGTTGTGAATGCGAGGAAGGGCGTGAGTCGGTGATATTTGATTTCTTGCCATTCTTGGTAGCCCCTTCTGTCACTATACTTATTAAGGCAGGTTTACACTTATTGCAAGATGATATTGATTTAAGGTCTCCCATACTTTTCCTCCTGGTCTTGCAGTAAACAGTTCCTGGAGATGCTGTAAGAACGGTAACATCGTTGGCAAAAGAACCTCCGACAGAAATTTGGTCTTCAGCTGGACATACGTGTTGTTCTGAGTCGATCAAATCGGACAACAACTCGTTCCTTAAAGATTCACTCGTGGTTTTGTAATCGGACAAGATGGTTTCATCAAAACCTCCACCGTGATCCAACTCCAAGGCATACTTATCCCAACTTTCAGCACAATTTGGCTGTTCAAATTGAATTTGCTGATATGCTGGTAATGGTTCGTCTTTATAGGTCTGATAACAATTCACATTGTCAATGGTCGACTCAAATTTATTGGAAACAAAGCTTTATTTCTTTATTATTATTAATAGATAGACTATGACTATGAAAGTAACAGATCTAGAAAAGTATAACTGCAGGATGCCTATGTGAACAGAAGTACATAAAAAATAAAAAAAATAAAAGAGTAGAACTGAAGATCTCATCCATCAAAGTATCTAATCTCGTCCAGAAACACAAATAGAGGAAGAAAAGCAATACTCACAGGGGTGAAGACAGGGTAATCTTGGGCAGTGAAATTAGGAAAAACCGGGGAAGCGACCGTGGGGAGCCGGAGTTTAGCGGGGCTATTACCCTGCATTAGAGCAGCATGAAGTGTTCTAAGCTCAACTGTTTTGGCTATGGCGGCCTGAATGTCTTGCCGGCTAATTACTTCGTAGCCATTATCATCATTTCCACTGTTTTTATGGTCTTGCAAGATTTTTGGTGTAGTAATTGAAGCCATGAATATATTCAGAGTAAGAAAGAAAGAAAGAATCGAAGGGGATGACCTTGTGAAAATCCAAGGGCTGGATTTGTTTATCTGCAGATAGGTAGATCGAATAATATCCAGTGAACCAATTCTGGAGAGCCAGGAAAATAGACAGATAGAGATGGATGAAATTTTGTCTTTGTTCTAAGAGGATTAATGGAATGGCTGCTGCATGTGCAAGAGACGGTCCCTTCCCCCGCGGATGTGGTGTAGATTTTACTCCACACAAAGTAAATAGAACGTGGTGAAAGCACAGGCAAACACATAACATATATATATATAAATAATCTACTGAACATCAGTACTTAACTTATGGTAAATATCTCAATTTATCAGTAAATAAATGTATGAACGATCGTGATATTTGTTATCCACACATGCTCAATTTTGTGCATTTCGCATTCCAGCTTGTCGATTTCCTTCTACTAAAAAATGAAATGTTCTTCAAACTAGCTCCCATTTAACAATTTGCATCGTGATCCCAATTGTAAGAGGTTCTATCATAATACATGTGGAGTTCATATAAGCAAGGACGGATACATCTAAGTTAGGGAGGCCACTCGACATCTATGAGAAAAAAATCGACGAGCCAATACTCGATCGCCATGGCTCACTAGTTGCTAGCTCCACCACTGCATGTGGTGAGACAACATGGAACACATATGGTTGTTTCTTACCTATGTGCAAATCAAACCACGTGTATTATTATACTTGTTGTTAAATAAGTGATAATTGTGTGGTGTCGATTGGAAAGAGAGAATTTTGAATACTATTTGAAATTTAAGAAGTACTGGGCGGGGGGGCATTGAACAGTTGGAAAAGGTCAATGCTCGCTTATAAAAAAATGGAAACAAAAGCATATCAATTTTGGGTGAATGAATACTCTAAGATAGAGTTTGAAAAATGGAATTTAGTTAATTCAACTTTTAAGACTTCAGAACTATTATAAAATTATACAAAATATAGCGATCCAATATGAACAACAAATGATGATTAATCAAGTCCGTCGAATTTTTCAATAGGCCTTACATTAACCATATATTTATTTACTATACCATCTTGTAGAGGTTCTTCATTATTTATTTATTTATTATTATTATTATTATTTTTTTGTTGATTGAGTAAAAAAGGGTTTCCGAAGTGGAATAAAAATCATAATCATGTTGTCACTAGCAAAAATGATGGTACTTTGGATTATTGTTGACCTTAAACTAAAGAAAGGTACCATAATCAAGCACTGGTGTCACATTGTGTCAAGCGACACTCTTCTGTGGGGACTTTAATTATTAACAAACCAAGGTAAAAAAACATAGTTAAAATTACTTGTAATAATGTGCAAAACGACTTTGACAGGGTCCACGTACTACCACTCTAATTTATAAAATCTATAATGAATCATAAGAGCAAACTAGTTATATACATGCCCCGTTTGGGAGGGATTTTGAGAATTGATTTTTTGACCGTTAGAAGAAAAGTGGGGTCCACCTGTAAGAGAAGAAGTCAAAAATTACTACTGAAATAGTACAATAACAGTCAAAAAATCAATTTTTTGGAGTAAAAAATCCCTCCCAAACAGGCCCACAATATTTTTATTAATTATTTGCTAATTATTGATGATAATTTGAATATTTTATATACACATGTAAATTTATGTATTATCTTTTCAGTATTTTATTTCAATGTATTTAACTGTATTATACTAGCGTGTTCAGTTCTACAAATTCAATAAGCTCCTATTTGACCTCCATTAAACTAAAATTCATTTTTTTCTCTTCTTAATAACCATATATTCTCCAAGAAAATAATATTACGCATAAATTTAGAAAAAAATTCGTTCATTTTTATTCACACATTCTCAAAAAAATTAATATTCCTCTCATTATAATTTCGAATAATGGAGTCCAACAGGGGCTTATTTTCAAATAATAGTGAAATATTTTCCAAATAATTTTACAAAGCCAACTGCATTTTTAATATTAAAAAATGTGGTCCAAATGCATTTAAATTCCCCCCCCCCCCCCCCCCCCCCCCCC